AGAATTTAAACCTAGAGTGACATATATCAAATAAAAACCAAATATCTATAGATGAATCTGGTATACATATCATGGGAAGACGAGTAACTGTATAGAAGATATCTTAAATCTATCTATCTATAAAAAAAAACATAAAATAAAGAATATTTTAATAACTAGTGATAAAATTGTATGTTAAATAAAAAGGACATTTGTAAAAAATGTATTAGTTATAAGGAGTGTAGTGAAAAGTGTTGTTAAAAAAAGGACATCCAAGGACTAGAAATTCTGTGAAGGGACCTTAAGAAAAAATAAAACCAGAAACTTCTAGAAAGTGTGAGAAACAAAGGTTTGTTGATTGGTTACGGCTTGGGTTTTGGAGAATGCAGAGAGTAAAGAAGCAGCTCCACAAAATTTAAATTTGCTAAAGAAAGAAGAGTCAAGTAAGAAAATTAAACTTACCATAAAAGTTAAAAGAAATTTACCATCGAAAAGAAACATTTCCAGTACCAGTTGTGAGAGTCCAGAGAGGTTTCCAGTGGCCCCATAAATGGTATGCTGTACATCCACACAGTTTCGAACAAGGAAAAATACAAGCTACCTAAAATAAAATTTAAAGTGCACTAAAAACAAACTATCGCATCAAACCTTAGTTAAAAAGATGCAGAATAAAATAAAGAACTTACCTGACTAAAATTAAATCAAGCCCATCAATCATATTGCAAAAACTTCACAAAATCCTCGAGATCGATCAAATTTATCAAAAATCAACGGCCATATTGATTAGAATAGAATTTTATGTCAAAAATAGATTATGCCCTATAAGATAGGCAAAATACAATACAACAAGATGTGTTAAGAATTAAAAGTATTAATAATTAAAAGTAATTGCTAATAGAGTTAAAAATTTTTTATTTAAAACAATTTTTTTGTATTGTATTTGATTTTACCAAATTAGATAAGACTACAAAATTGATAAAAATATTCTTTATTAGTGTTATAAAAGATATTTATAATGAGCTACAATTTTAAGTTATGAGTCAACCCACAACAAAATTTGTTGAATAAAAGTGTATTAAAGTTGAATCTCTATTTTTTGTGTGTTGCATTGTACTTGTTTGTGTATAAAAATCAATAGAACCGACTCCTGAGATCGAAAATAGTAAAACAAGCATCTAACATCAGCTGGCAAGGGAAAAGGTAAACTACAGGGTGAGCCAAAAATGGTTTTTATTTCACAATTATCATTTACAAAAATAAAATAAAATAACACAACACACCACACAACAAAAACAACTTTGGCAAAAATAATAATATTATTTTCACAACACAACTTAGACACACAAAATTATATATTTCATAACAATATTATTGCATTGTTGAATTCCTTGGTTAATATTAGAGTTTATTAAATATACATGGTGTTTAAAACTTACCGCTTTTGAGATATTCACGATTTCAGCTGTCTAAATGAGGCTAGATAACATCTAAACTAAGAGTTAGAAACATGCAGTTCTCACAGTTCGTTTTGGCATAAATTACTGTATCTTGTTATCTGTGAGCAAAACGTGTTCGTTATTCAGACTCGGAAATACTGAGACCTACATTTAATAATCTTACGAATTGAAAAACTTTTTTTTAAAATGTAATGGTCCATACTAATTGTCATGAATGAATGCAAAATTGAATACCCTTTCGACTGATATAAGATTGTCCATACTTATCTTTAACAGTTTTCCAGAAAAAGCAGGTTCTTTTCTAAAGTCCAAAAGGTAGCTATGTAACAGCTTCAAGAAGGCCTTGCAAAACCACTTTTTTCTCACATTTTATCAGACCTGGAACTGACAGTCTCAATATTTACTGGCATGTTTAAAAAGTGGTTTGACAAACAAAAGTAAACCACTAACAACAACTAAAACAAAACGCAAAACGAAACGTACTGAAATTCGGAACACAACAAGGAGAAGAATACTTAGACCGCTGATTTACATCAATTGCTCGAAGTGTCTCCCATTTTGATTAATACACAAACGAATTCGGTTTTTAAAAGACTGTTCATCATTGGTCAGCATGTCTAACGTAATTTCTTGATATGCTACTGTAATGCGCTGCCACATATCTTCCGCGGTAGTTGGTGGTGTAATGCAAACTTTGCTTTTTATAAATCCCCATAAAAAGAAGTCTCAACTTGTCATATGTGGACACCTTGAAGGCCAACTCACTGGTCCTCCGCGCCCAATGCATCTATTGGGGAAAGTTTCATGTAAAAACTGACAAACCGCAGCGGTATTGTGAGGTGGAGCACCATAATGTTGCGTCCACATTCTTCGAAGTGTAGGTAAAGGAATGACGCCTAACAAATCTTCCAGCGTGTTTGTTAAAAGGTTTAAATAAACTGCTCCAGTTAGATGCTGGTCAAAAAAGAATGGTCCAATGACATGGGTTCCCAAAATTGCTCCCCACACGTTCAAAGACCATCGTTGGCTATGAGTTGTCCGGAATTGGTGAGAATTTACTATGTCATAATAATGAAAATTATGACTATTAACGAAACCATTTTTATGAAAAGTAGCCTCATCGGAGAATATGACCCGTTTAAAAAATCATCATCTTGATTTAACATCTCAAGTGCCCACTGACAAAACTCCAGTCTACTTTTAGTAACTCTTAGTGTAATTGGTTACGATAAGGATGTACTGTGCTGTGCTTTTGTAAAATCCTATGTATCAATACATACAATTGTAATGCTCTTGACGCTGTTACATAGTTACTTTTTCGGACTTTAGAAAAGAACCTGATATTTCTGGAAAACTGTTAGAGATAAGTATGAACAACCTTATATCAGTCGAAAGGGCATTCAATTTTGCATTCACCCATGACAATTATTAATATGGGTCATTCCATTTGAAAAAAAAGTTTTTCAACTCGTAAAATTATTAAATGTAGGTCTCAGTATTTCCGAGACGAACTTTGAAAACTGCAGGTTTCTAACGCATACGGTTTAGATGCTATCTAGCTTCATTTAGAGAGCAGAAATCATGATTTTTTTCAAAAACCTCGAAAACGGTAAGTTTTAAACACCATGTACATTTGATAAACTACCTAATATTAATATACAGGGTGTTCCATTTAAAATAACAATGTTATGTAGTGCCCACGTGAAATGGAACAGCCTGTAAAGCTAAAAATATTTTCTTTAATTGGCCCCCCACATGATTCCAGACAACATTTATTAAAACCATTTTTTTTAAATAAATTTTACAGTTACAGAGTTACACAAGAATCCCTCTTAGGTGGAACACTCTGCATGTATGAAGACTAAAATTTTACTAGCGGTCGAAGTAAACGCCTAAATCGTTAATAAAATCGGGCTTACGAAGTATCGAAAGTCAAAACTTACTTTCTTCCGAGAAAAAGTAAATGTTTTTTAAATATTTAATGGCAACCAGTTTGATTGACACCAAAGACTAATGGAGATCAAGGCACCCCTGAAAGAAATAAACTCAGCAAAAAAATAAAAAATTTTTTAGAGATTTTTGAAAGAATGTAACCTCGTCGTATCGAGAAAATTCAATTTTGAAACAAAAATCAATTTTTTTAAATTTTTTAACGTCCTCTTATTTACCATTTTACATTGAATATTACAAACGTCGAGAAAAAATATTTTTTTTTAAATCAAAAAAATGTTTTGTAAAAAAAATTTTGGTATTTGTTGTATGTATTTTTTTGTCGTAAAATGTTGTATTTGTAGGTTTAAAGGTACTTATATTTTGTACTAGTTAAATACGCTTTCCGAGGAAATATTTGAATATACAGGGCGGTCCAGATTTTAGACAAACTTCGGGAAAATACTAAACAGCAAAAATTAACATCACTGCTCTATGAACATAGGCGCAGAAAGCCACCGTTTATGAGATACAGGGCGTTGAAATTAACAAAAATAAAACAATTTTTTTAAATATCTGGAAAACGGCTTTATCAAATTTATCCAAATTAGATACACATTTTTTTCAAATATTTCCCCTAGTTTTGTATGCACATAGTCCAAATTCAAAGACCAGTGGCGGAGAAACAAGGATGTCGTTTTCTTATTTAAAGTAAAACTTCTACGTCACTGAATTAATTGGTAATATGAATACATTTTATAATGGTCTGAAACATACCGGAAACGATATCATTGTTTCTCCGTCACTGGTTTTTGAATTTGGACTGTGTGCATACAGAACTAGGACAAATAAATTTAAAAAAAATTTGTACCAAATTTGAATAAATTTGATGAAACGATTTTCCAGATATTTAAAATAATTGTTTTACTTTTGTTAATTTCAACGCCCTGTATCTCATAAACGGTGGCTTTCTGCCCCTATGTTCATAGAGCAAAGTGATGTTAATTTTTGTTGATTAGTACTTTCTCGAAGTTTGTCTATTAAAAATATGGAACACCCAAATTCGTTTTATTTTTACCTATTTCAACGCTTTATTTACTTGGATAATATGTCTCATAACTCGTAAACCATTCACTTTTCGACAAAAATAAAAAAATGTTTTTTCATCCGGAATATTTTAGACCGTTGTAAAAAGTTTGACTCTAAATAAGGAAACCAGTTCATTGTTTCTCCGCCACTGGTTTTTGAATTTGGACTGTGCACACAGAACTAGGAGAAATATTCGAAAAAAAATGTGTACCAAATTTGGATAAATTTGATGAAGCGGTTTTCCAGATATTTAAAAAAAAAATTTATTTTTGTTAATTTCAACGCCCTGTATCTCATAAACGGTGGCTTGCTGCACCTATGTTCATAGAGCAAAGTGATGTTAATTTTTGTTGCTTAGTAATTTCCCGAAGTTTGTCTATTAAAATCTGGACCACCCTGTATAAATATGTATTTTCCGTAACAAATATATACTTATTTTTCTTTTTTTAAATAATAAAAATACAGTCTTGATTTTCAAGGCACAGAAAAATTTCCTAAGAATTTCACATGTTCGACTAATTTATCTTTAAAACTTGTTTGTTCCAGCGGCCCCCGAGTCTCCAAAAAGTTGCATAGTTCGCAACGCGACACATGGAGGCCTGGAAGTGTCTTGTATAGCGGGCAAAGATGGAGGCTTACATCAAAGTTTTGTGCTGGAAGTTTCCGATATTACCATAACGGAGCCGCAGCCAGGTGTTACGACCCTCAGCGATCAAGGTTAGTAGAGCAATTTCTCCGTTTCCGTTAAGTTCGCCGGATAACTGATTTTTTTTCCTACTGCCTTGAGTACAATACCAACTTTACCACGCAAAATTATAACTTTTGGTCATTAGTATGTGGGCTATTCTTAAGTTTAATCATATTTCTTTTTTTTATAGCAAATGCTAAAGTGTGATTTATACAACTTAAATCAACAGAGCAAGTAGTATATCAACATTAATTTATTCATATTGTACCAAATTTCTTTTATTTAGCACAATTTAATACACAAAAGTTATTTTCCCTCTGGGCCCTCTCAAGACACTTAGGCCAAGCAAATTAAAATTTTACTGGAAAAAGTCTTATCAGCGAGATTATTGCAAAATTGTCTAAAGGAACATAATACAAGACATCTCTCATCTCCTGAGTCAAAAACTTAAAAAATAACTTTTTAAATGAACGATAGCTACATTTATTTATTTAATAATAGTAAAATAATTCGAGAGTTGTAATTAATGTTTCGTTTAACAATAATTTTTGTGACATATTTGTAAATTAAAAAAAATTAAGTATAAAAGATGCATTTTTTCTGGGGTTCAGGGCTATTCTACGAATTCGTAAATATGCCTATTGTTATTTTTTCGTCGCGCTACCCCAGCTTAAAAAAAAGAAGTTTCTACGTTTCTCCGCGCGCGACTCGCTTGGACGAGCTTCCCCCACCACCACGCCGCCGGTCGCCGGACAGTTTACTTAGCGAGTGTCTCTTTAAAGGGCTCGTGAGTCGTTAATTTTCCACATTTTTCAATGCAATTCACGGGAAATCGCAGCAAAATTCAAGTCTTAATGTTTATAAACAATTATTGCGCTGTGATTTAAAAAAAAAAATTCTTATCTTGGCTCCTGTTGGTCGTAGAGGGTGCTTTTTTTAAAAAATTTTGTATTTTTTTCCAGCTATCTATTGTATCTATTTTCGGTGAGGTAGCATAAATAGCAACAATTTTATTCAAATTGTTTATAAGCGAAAAACGCACGTTTTTTTTAATGCACAATTTGAGAATGTTAATGTCAAAAAACCGGTGATAATTTTTAATAGGTCGCTTAATTACGTCTTTAAGATTACAATGACGCTTTCAGAATCATGTTTGGTTGAAAATTAACGCCTGTACAGAGGCTTAAAGTTCATAACTTTTGGAGCCTCCGTTATAAACAAATTGAATTGTGCGAAAACTATTGCACCTACAGCGCCCACTTTTGGCACACTTTTAAAGTATGACAAAACCCTCAACTTGTCATAGGTTTTATAAAATTTTAACAATAAATGCGATAGTTTTAAACAAATTAAAAAATGGGCACTTTTTTGTTTATTAACCGATTTTAATTTAACAAGTCTCATTTTGTAGATAATTTTACTCCCTAGAAGCTGTCTAAGAGTCACTTTTCGCTGAAATTTATGGTTTTCCCTGCAAAGTGAAAAAACTGTTTTCCTCACTTATTTGTTTAAATAGAAAAGTTAACTAATAAAAGTTTTTGACTCACGAGATGAGAGATGTCTTGTATTATGTTCCTTTAACATTTTTACAATAATATCGGTGATAGGACTTTTTTCGAGTTTCTCTTTTATTTTCGCTAATTTTCCTGGTGTAACTGTAGACTACGTCGATGATCCTCTTGATCACCATATATGGGCCTTTCCAGAAGTTCTGCAGCTGAAGAAGTTTTGCTTTCTTCCTTACTGAGTTGCGCAGCCATACTAGATCTTTTGCCTGAACCCACTGGTGTTAGCTCTGCCATCGTACCGGGTTTTTATCCGATCAGATTCAAACATTTTCTGTGGAACGTTATCATTGAATGCATTGATTCTGTTGGCTAATTATGTGTGTCAATTTACTGAAGTAATCTCAAATTCTGTCTGAGCTCCAACGTTGTATTGTTTCATCTGACTTAGGCTCCCAGTTCTAGACTCTTTGTTGCTGCAAGAGTCATCACACCGGTGACACCGATCTTCTACATCTGCTCGACTTCCCAGCCAGTAGAATCTTTATCCAACGTTATTTATGTCCCCCACTTTCTCCACAATGGCCTTCTCTCAGCACTTCATTGACTCTATTCCTTGGCGACATGCTTTCGTACTTCTTTGCCGTCTGGACTTTCCCATGCCTCTTCAGTAACCCATTTTCTAAGATGAGTGAATCCCATATTGCAAAATAACCTTTTAACGTTCATGATGTGCCCATTTTGGTCTAATCTCATGTTCTTTTCAATTAACAATCCATTTTAGACTGTCATGGTTTCGATGATCTTCACTAAGTTTTCTAGTTTTCCATTATCCGTCAGTCACAGAGCGACTGTCATTACAAAATGTAACTTATTTCCAGTTTTTACTTTCATTTGAAATAATACGAACTTCATTCGTAAAATTAACCTTTTCAGAAATCTCTATTCTTGGGATATACCTAACTTTTTTCATGTAGCAAACGTACAAACGTAGAACTGCAAGAATTTTATACTCAACCACTGAGTATTTTCTTCAATACTTGAATCTTTCTCCCCATCACGGCCTCCAATGAATCTTTTTCCACGTCTGAAGGAAATTTTGCTTCTTAGCATTAATTTTGGCATGTTTCTACTTTCACTATGCACAGAACAAACAAGGCAACACAAAGCAGAACTGGCAGAACAGAATAAAACAATCGTTATTTATTTCGGTGTCATCTGTAGTCAAATTTAACTCAATTGGTTTTTTGAATATTTTTCTTTTAAAATAAATATATTATCGAACTTTTTATTTGTCGTTAAAATAGCATTTTATCGTCTAATACAATAAGTAACTATTATTGTTCATTCATGTAATCAAGAATGACTTTTTACTCTTATACCTTAAATAACTATTAATTAATGCCTACTTCTTTCATATGTAAAGTTCCACTGTTAATTTCTGTAATTACCTGAAACCTTACCTTTAATTTATTCCACGGTCTCTTGAAACTCTGAAAGAAACCAACCCCTTACACGCAGTGTGTCAGTAATTACTCAACATATCAGATTTTTAATTAATAAACGTTTTTGTAATAGCACACAAACACGATGGATATAAAGTAAAATAACGCTTTAATAGGGCAGTATTAAATGTTGAATTTAAATTTATAGTTAGAAGCGATAGTTGAAACCGATGTAAAATAAATTAATTAACACGTAGTTTTAGGAAGGAGGAAGGATATAAATTCGAACATGCTGCATTGGATGTGCTACGTTATTCAAAAAGAACACATTCGATATTTTCAATTAATGTATCATTAAATAATAGAAAACGTATATAGTCAATTTTATACTGAAAATTATTTGAAATTAATTGTTCTCAAAGTAAAATTTAAAAGTAATTTACTATGTCGAGTATTATATCCTCTGAAATGGTATATTTACTTGCAGTTTGAATAGCCCAAGAAAGACAGTAAAATATTTTCCATCATAACATTTATTTAAGATCCCTTTAAACGATTGGAAAAACTTACTTAATTCACTATGTTAATTGCTTTATCTAAGTACTAACTAAAGTAATAATGTCTTTTTAGATAAAGCGTTTCCTAGGCCAATGTTTCAATTTATTTTAAACCTTCTTCAGGGCTATAGATGATAATACAAGACAGGAACATTGAACATACACACTGAAAAAAAAAAAGTATTTGGATTAAATGAGCAGATAGTTTTAAATGGAATTATTTGCTGTAAATGTTATTTTATTCTATTCAAATATATATATACCTCCGTCAAACTATGTGAAATATTTGCTGTTTTTCTCATTACTAAAACTGTACTCAACAGTAAAACCTAATTCAACTAATGCAATGCAATCCCATGACAGAATACACCGACTTGAATAATAATAATATGACAAATAAATTACATAATAAAATAAAAATGATTGTGCAGCCCTATGTCTAACTTTAAAAATCTCGAGAAATAATGACTTTACCGCTATGAAGGAATAGTAGGTTAATTACATACAAAGTATAGAAGAATTGAAAAATTGTACCAAAATAAAAATTCTGCCAGTGGCGTAGAAGTTAGGAACGGAAACTGCTCCTGTCGTACGCCTCTCATAGTAGCCATGAATTATTTTGTAATATTTTTTAATATGTTGTGTCAAAATATTTAATAGGCAAAATTCATTTAAAATTTTTTTAATAAAATACCCTGTAACTCCGTAAGGAGCCATATTTTATCTAAGCGTTATGTGTCAATTCTTCATATTTTCAGCCCAGGATTATCCAGTTGGCGTATGTACAATTATTAATGATTCACCCTGTACATATTTAAAATTTAGTGTTAATGTAGGAATTATTCAAGACAAATGTAGCATATTTAATTAAACTTATATTTTCTGGAAAGAAAATTGTAGATCACAAAATGGCGTAAGTGGGAACTAGCACGAGTAGCGACACTAATAGGCCAGGAAAATAAACTTGGAAATAACTATTTCGCGACTTTTTGTTTCGGCAAGCTGTATTTATCACTATAGATGCTAAATATTATGTACAATAACATATTAATTTCCAGTCATAAAAATGGGGGGAAGATTGCTTACAGAGTAGTTAATTGTACAAGTTTTACGTAAATTTACGTTTTTCGCTTATAACTTTTTTCCGTTCATTTCCACGAGAAAACACTAAAGTACTTTTTTTTCGTCTTCAAAAGACCTACAAAATTACAGCGTAAAAAAATATTGATTGGATCAAAAGTTATAAACAGAAGAAGTTTATTTATGACTTTTGAATTAAACATTTATAAACTGCGTTATTATTACCAGGACGTTTTGGCATCGCATCCTCTCATTCCTTATCACTGTCTAATAACTCACACGAAATCTGGAATCGGTAAGATGAATAGTTTACAAGTTATGGCCTTATAAACAAATTAACTAATTTATTAGTCTGGACGATCCCGAGGATCCTCCACAATCGCACTGATTTTCTTAATAATATTAAGAAAAAAAGATGTGGAAACATTAAAATTTAAAAAATACACATGTTAAAAATGTTACCTATATTAACCAGGCCTACAGAAGAACAATTTGAATTTAAAAAATGTATTTAACAATGTTCTTATTGTATAAACGTAATTAACAATAGTAACAATTTTAATTATTAGTTATTTTTAAAGCATTTTAATATTTTCAAGAGTTTTTGTATAATCATTTTTTTAGATATTTTTAATTTTATAAGTTCAATGTTCATATCACTAGTATTGTTATTAAAATAAATCGAAACTATGAAATAAAATTGTTATTTCTGTGTTCAATTCCTGATTGCTTATAATTCGTTAAATATTACCGTTACTGATAACTCCAGCACACAAAAAATGGATTGTACGTTTGATTTGACTCAATTTGAATCTGAAGATCGTTAAGTTCAAATACCCCCAAAATTTTGAGTAATTGGCAATAAATAGTGAAAAATCGCCAAAAATCACGTTAATGAGTACCAAATAATTTGAAAAAGCTCTATCTTTGAGTAATCCCAAATTTCGTATGACTTCGTTCAACTCCTCTTGGTTAAAAGTTTGGGGAGCCTTTCTCTCACCTGCTGGTAAGTATTCATCAAGATATAAGTGAAATGGCCGTTTTCTGTTTTATATTAAAGAGAAAAACGAATCAGAATAGTCGGGAGAGAAATAGACACCCGCTGCATGGGTCATTCGAAGAGAAGACAGTTCGCTACAAGAGAAGAAAAGTATAAGGGCAACATCAAAGAAAGCCTGGTTCGAGTCAGATAAATTTATTGGAAGTAATTCATATCCATGACATTTATTCAAGACTTTTTGGGAATCACTATTTCCATTTTTTGCGATATTTTTTAGTAATGAGGCTCAACAGATTTTAGATTCAAATTCGACTCGACAAAATTTATGAGAAGGACACTTGATCCAATCTAGAAAACCTCTTTCTGAATTTTCTCACTCATTAATATGATTTTTTGCCATTTTCAGCTATTTTTTGCGTTTTTTTGCAAAATCTGCGGGGGATACAGCTAATAGACTTCAGATTCCAATTGAGTGTATCAAAATATATAAGAAACACGCTTGATCAAGGTCACAAAAAAAAATCGATTTTTTTGGATTGACTAACGTAATTTTTTGTTGATTTTCCGCAATTTTTGGTGAATTTTCGCAGCTATTTTGCGATTTTTCAAAATCTGGAGGGGATGCAGTTTAAGAGATTTCAAATTTGGATTTAGCATATCAAAATACACAAGAAATCTACTTGATCAAGTTCAGAACTAATTTTTTCGATTTTTTTTGCGCTCACTAACGGTACTTTCGGCGATTTTGTACAATTTTTTGCCAATTACTCAAAATTTTGGAAGTGTTTGAGCTAAACGGACTTCAGATTCAGATTCACACGTCAAAATATACCGTACGCCTAAAGTACCTAAAGTAAAGTAGTAAAGTACCTAAAGTATGGAATAAATTCAGTAAAAACGAAACAAATTTTTTTTGGGAAAAATCCTCAAACAGGTCGATTTTTAATTTAAAAAATAGGTACATATTTTAGCATAAAGTTTTTTGTGTGTTTGTGTTTGTTTTAACTAATTAAGTGATTTAATTGTAATTTAATTAATTAATTAACTCCAATCAAGCGCAATTAGTAAAATTAACGAAATTATCTCAATTAACTAATTAACGTAAATTCATTTCCAGGCGAGCCGCAGCAGCCCGTATACCGCGTGTTGGGCGAGAGGCCGCTCTTCCGGCTGCACAGCCTCCAGCCGGGCAGGGAATACCAAGTGCTCGTGTACGCGGAGAACGCCAAGGGTAAAAGCAATCCTCCGGTAGTGCTTCCTAATGTTCGAGTCGAAACAGAAGTGCCCCTCGCAACAAACCAGGAGAGCGGTACGTCCCACGAGAGACAGTTAATTTAATTAAGGAAGACACTAACAATAACTGAACGCGCTCTGCATGTCTAGCAGACAGAACTAAATGAGATGACCTACACGTGTTTTCGCCATTTAAGATCGCCCGAAGGGCTCTGAATGTTAAATGTTTGTTGTTATTGGATTCTTCGTCCCCGGAATCCGGGAAGTACGACGTCCGTGGACGTTTTAATATCATGGCGCCGTAGTTAGCGCCGTAAATGCAAGATTAGCTCGTTCTCTTTAACCTTATTTCCTCTTATTCTCACAATCCTGTCATATTTTCATGAGGTGGAAGGCTGAGGTGCTTAATTCTGTTTAATTTTTATCGAGCTCAACCAAAATTTGATAATGATAAATAAACGTCTAGGATAAGCTTACAAGGTGCATTTTTATCTACCTATATCAAATTATATCATTTCAAGCTACACTGTAAAAAAAAAATCACTCAGTCATTTTATTCGAAAATATATCAATTTCTGTCCACCCGATTGAGTGAAATTTTCCTCTAGTAGTATGAGTAGATACAAGTAAAATTTTATGAGTGAAACTATCAGTTTTAGTTCAAATATTATCAAAAATGTGTAAAATTATTAAAATTGCCAATAATGAATGAGAATGTACTCAATAATTTCACTCAATGAATTCACTTCACTCAGACCAATTCATTTTATTATTTATTATTTAATTTTATTATTAATAAACCTGCAGTATAAGTATAAACTAATTCATTAAAATCATTCATTTTGTTATACAGGACGTTTCAGAAAGACCTCCCGTAAATTCAGGGGGTGATAGTACGACAAAAAATAAAAAAATTTGANTTTTTTTATAATCATTTTTTCAGATATTTTTAATTTTGTAAGTTCAATGTTCTTATCACTTCTATTGTTATTAAAATAAATTGGAACTTTGACTTAGTCAATAAATAAAATTGTTATTTCTTTGTTCAACTCCTGATTGTCTATAATTTGTTAAATATTACCGTTACAGGTAACTCCGGCACAAAAAAATGATTGTACGTTTGATTTGACTTAATTTGAATCTGAAGTCCGTTTAGCTCAAATATCCCCAAAATTTTGAGTAATTGGCAATAAATAGTGAAATCCCCGAAAATCACACTAGTGAGCTAAAAGAAATTCGAAAAAATTTGTTCTGAACTTAACTAAGTGGGTTTCTTATGTATTTTGATATGCTTGATAATCTAAGTCTTTTAAGCTGCATCTCCTGAAAAAATTTGCAAAAATCGGAAAGTAATAGCGAAAAATCACGTTAGTGAGCACCAAATAATTCGAAAAAGCTCTATCTTTGAGTAATCCCAAAATCTCGTATGAGATCGTTCAACTCTTCTTGGTTAAATGTTTGGGGAGCCTTTTTCTCACCTGCTGGCAAATATTCATCAAGATACAAGTGAAATGGCAGATTTGTGTTGAACACTAAAGAGAGAAACGAATCAGAATAAACAGTTCGCTACAAGAGAAGAAAAGTTTAAGAGCAACATCAAAGAAAGCCTGGTTCCAGTCAGTCGAATTTATTGGAAGTAATTCATATCCATGACATTTATTCAAAACTTTTTGGCACGATTTCCATTTTTGCGATATTTTTTAGTGATGAGACTCAACAGACTTTAGATTCAAATTCCACTCGACAAAATTTATGAGAAGAACACTTGATCCAATCTAGAAAACCTCTTTCTGAATTTTCTCTCATTAATATGATTTTTTTGCCTTTTTCAGCTATTTTTTGCGTTTATTTGCAAAATCTGCGGGGGATGCAGCTAATAGACTTCAGATTCCAATTGAGTGTATCAAAATATATAAGAAACACGCTTTATCAAGGTCACAAAAAAAAATTCGATTTTTTTTTGGGTTGACTAACGTAATTTTTTGTCGATTTTCTGCAGTTTTTGATGAATTTTCGCTAATATTTTGCGATTTTTCAAAATCTGGAGGGGATGCAGTTTAAGAGATTTCAAATTTGGATTTAGCATATCAAAATACATAAGAAATCTACTTGATCAAGTTCAGAACAAATTTTTTCGATTTTTTTTTGCGCTCACTAACGGTACTTTCGGCGATTTTGTACAATTTTTTGCCAATTACTCAAAATTTTGGAAGTGTTTGAGCTAAACGGACTTCAGATTCAGATTCACACGTCAAAATATACCGTACGCCTAAAGTACCTAAAGTAAAGTAGTAAAGTACCTAAAGTATGGAATAAATTCAGTAAAAACGAAACAAATTTTTTTTGGGAAAAATCCTCAAACAGGTCGATTTTTAATTTAAAAAATAGGTACATATTTTAGCATAAAGTTTTTTGTGTGTTTGTGTTTGTTTTAACTAATTAAGTGATTTAATTGTAATTTAATTAATTATAATTAATTAATTAATTAACTCCAATCAAGCGCAATTAGTAAAATTAACGAAATTATCTCAATTAACTAATTAACGTAAATTCATTTCCAGGCGAGCCGCAGCAGCCCGTATACCGCGTGTTGGGCGAGAGGCCGCTCTTCCGGCTGCACAGCCTCCAGCCGGGCAGGGAATACCAAGTGCTCGTGTACGCGGAGAACGCCAAGGGTAAAAGCAATCCTCCGGTAGTGCTTCCTAATGTTCGAGTCGAAACAGAAGTGCCCCTCGCAACACTCCAGGAGAGCGGTACGTCCCACGAGAGACAGTTAATTTAATTAAGGAAGACACTAACAATAACTGAACGCGCTCTGCATGTCTAGCAGACAGAACTAAATGAGATGACCTACACGTGTTTTCGCCATTTAAGATCGCCCGAAGGGCTCTGAATGTTAAATGTTTGTTGTTATTGGATTCTTCGTCCCCGGAATCCGGGAAGTACGACGTCCGTGGACGTTTTAATATCATGGCGCCGTAGTTAGCGCCGTAAATGCAAGATTAGCTCGTTCTCTTTAACCTTATTTCCTCTTATTCTCACAATCCTGTCATATTTTCATGAGGTGGAAGGCTGAGGTGCTTAATTCTGTTTAATTTTTATCGAGCTCAACCAAAATTTGATAATGATAAATAAACGTCTAGGATAAGCTTACAAGGTGCATTTTTATCTACCTATATCAAATTATATCATTTCAAGCTACACTGTAAAAAAAAAATCACTCAGTCATTTTATTCGAAAATATATCAATTTCTGTCCACCCGATTGAGTGAAATTTTCCTCTAGTAGTATGAGTAGATACAAGTAAAATTTTATGAGTGAAACTATCAGTTTTAGTTCAAATATTATCAAAAATGTGTAAAATTATTAAAATTGCCAATAATGAATGAGAATGTACTCAATAATTTCACTCAATGAATTCACTTCACTCAGACCAATTCATTTTATTATTTATTATTTAATTTTATTATTAATAAACCTGCAGTATAAGTATAAACTAATTCATTAAAATCATTCATTTTGTTATACAGGACGTTTCAGAAAGACCTCCCGTAAATTCAGGGGGTGATAGTACGACAAAAAATAAAAAAATAAGAATTTTTTGTCTTATGAACTATATGTCTATCTCCTCTTGTTTTCGAGATATAGAGCGACAAAATAAAATTTTTTAAATATAATTTTTACGAAAATTTCGTATGGCAAATGATTAAATATTTTGGGTCCTATGTAATTTGGCCCTTTACCTACAATTGATAATTTTGTGAAAGGTATACGTATTTCATTATTTTGTCGGGTATTATTATTGTGAACATCCCTATTCAAACAAAATTTATTTACATTTTTAAAAATATACATCGACATTTCAAATATAAATAACGATGCCACAGTTAAAATTTTATGTTCCCTGAAGGCAGGTCTACATGACTGCAAGTTTCCGTGTCCAACAATAATACGCAATATGCGTTTTTGCAAAATAAAAACAGACTTCGCCGAGGTTGAGTCACCCCAAAAACAAATACCATACCGCAATCGACTATCAATTTGGGCATAATATAAATTAATTAATTGCTGCCTTTCTAAGATCCCACTCATATTCCTAAACATAAAACAATTAGATGACATAGTTGAAACAAGCATATTACAATGAGTTGTCCAATTAAGTTTCTCATCAAGATATATACCCAAAAATTTAGCACTCGTCTTACAGTTGCCCATGTCACAATTATTTACAGAAAGTGTCAGATCATCGCAACTTCTTTGTGCAGTACGAAACCTTACTATCTGGGTTTTGTCAACATTAAAATATAAATTATGATCACAAAACCATCTACATAACAGTTCCAGGGTTCTATTTATGTTTGCATTCAGATCATCAATATTTTTATTTGAAAACAACAAAGCCAAGTCATCCGCATACATGGTGAAAAACGTATCATTTAAAACTGACTCCACTGAATTAACGTACAAAATAAAAAGTATAGGGCCAAGAACTGATCCCTGTGGCACCCCCATTTCCACAAGTAATTTGTT